ATCATGACTAGTTGGCATGGGCTGGCTCGGCCGGGCATCAGATGACGGAGTAGCAGCACCGACTGCCGATCGATTTTGGATGGTCAGCTTCTCATATCCAAGTTCCTTGTATCCACAGATGCGCAATCGAAGCCCGCGCAGGTCGTGTTCGATGCAGAGAGGCTTAGAGCAACTCTTGCAATGCACCTTCCACTGAGGGGAGTCATAGCATTCTTGGCAAAGGTTGCGAGGGCAGGGCGAAGTTTTTCGGCCGGGAGGCCCCAGCAGCCATTTCATCATTGCAAGATGACCTGTTTCCAGTGTATAGTCCGGTTTGCTGGGATCACCATAGGCATACTTTGGGAATGTCTTGCTCCACTCACTGACGGTGTACTCTAGGTCTTCCCAGCCCTGATTCCGAGGTAAAGGCACTGCCCGCACTTGGTCTACATCACGACTGGGGGTGCCAATACTAATGCCGCCTCCTCCAGAGAAGTAGGGTTCAGCACAGCACCAGTGGAATCTGAGAAGGGGATCCGGCGTGCGCGGTAGCCCGTGTAAAGGATTGCCATCGAGTAAATTCGGTTGGGGATCCTCCATCGAGCTGGGAGAGTGTACAGCCCCCGGTGCCCACCATAAAGGGTCTGATGTATTTGTGCTGTGGTGGGCGTGGGCAGTAGAGTGTGAATGAGCGCTGGTATTATGAGGATTGCTCGAAGACATATTTAAAGCTTCTTGTCGAAGATATGGTCGCTCATAGGCACAGCTTGCGCAGAGGGTCTTGCGACATCCTACGCAATGCATCAAGATACTGCACTGCTCGCATCTTTCTTGAATCTCGTCACCACAGTTATCGCACTTGACATCGTGGACAAACTGCCTATGGCTGCGGCGAAGATGGGCGGGTACCATTTTGCCCTCGCCGGCCTCGGGACCTTCGCCGCTACCCAATGCTTCCCCGAAACAGCCAGTGTCTTCGCTCTCCCAGAGTCTCCCACTCCGACCTTCCAATGCTTCGCCGTCGCCATCATACGGTCCAATCCAATTCTTGCACCGCCAGAGTCGATCGAACGCAACCCAGGCCTCGGTCATGCCCTGCGGGTCTCGCATCGCGACATACCCGCGCCTGCGGAAGCACCTGCCGGCAGGTGTTGTACACCAGGCTGTATCGGTCCAAATTCCCAACTTGTGACAGAGGTTAACGAGCTCGTGAGTGGGTTCGGCGTCGGAGTCTTTGCGAAATATTGAGGAGGCGAGATAAGGTCGTCGGCGATGGTGACGTGACCGGTATGCGTACAGACTTTTAAGCGCCAGGCGCTTCTTAGGTTGAGAAGTGCCGAAACTGGTCGCTTTATCGACATCCTGCTGTAGTCCGAGCAGGTTCAGATACGGGACAATATGATATTTCAGAGAGACATGCTTGCAGCCGCGAATCGAAAGATGCTCCAGGGTCTCACAGCGCGCGTGCATCACCGTTGACACGAGAATCTGCCCTGATACAGCCGTGTTGTCCAATTCCAGGCTCTTGAGACACGTCGTAAAGGGAGCCAGCACATTCATCAACAGTTGATCCAAGGCATATGGTCGTGACTGCCGCTCAGGCGCGACTTGCGCCTCGCGATCCGATGAGGCTGGCGGGATGATCTGGGATAGTGTCGAGGGTGTTGAAGGGTACAACAAGCGAAAGGAGAGGGACTTCCATGCGGTCGGATAGGATCGAAAGAACGTACGAAGGTAGTGGGAGGTTTGGTAGAGCTTGAAGATGGTGTCGGTAGGAAGCTGAAGTAGAAGTGATTCGAGGACGGGGGCATTGAAAGTAATACATCGTTCAAACTGTGACAGAAGTCGATCGGATCGTATTTCGGATAGATCTCGAGCATTTTCCACCGCGATGTTCACTTGCGTGGAAGTTGGCTGTTCAGCCTGCTCGGCGTTGGCGCCGACAGCGCGACTGGCGCAAACGTCCATGGTGCTGAAGAGTCGAAGAGCGCGAAGTCGCGGACGGTTCCAGAGCAAGCGTAGGGCATGATAAGACGAGCTGGATAGTATGAAAATCACATCTCAAGGCAAGCATGCATCGCAGGCCACGGAATTCCGAGTCGAGTGCTTCGGTTTCAAGGTTGGAGATTGCAGGGCGCCCGGACTGGGGCAATCGATAAGCGGTGGATCGGGTCGCTTTTTGGGGCGCTAAGGGGCAGCCAGGGAGGAAGTGGGGGAGACGGGGCGGAGAGGGAGTGGAAGGGAGGAGGATGGGATGGAGGAAGGGGATGAAAAGGGGCGAAATGATGAGGATGAGGATGCGAATGAGAGAGTAAAAGCGAAGATTGAAGAGGAAGAAGAAGAAGACTTGAGCAGTTCCGACTGGACTGGATTGATTGGACGGATGGGACTGTCATGTGATGCTATACACTCTTGAGAACAGTCCAGCTTCAAACTTGAATTTCACATTACTTACGTAGGTACGTAGGTATGTAGTTAGGTACTAGTAGATAGTAGTGTGGACAGTATTATTACAGCTATTAGCATCCAATGTGGAGATAGGGTACTCCATCATATATTGGGGTTGGTCAGTTCATCTATTTATCATATTCTTTATACTCCGTATTTGCTAGAAGCATGTCATGACTTGCGTCAAAGCAGGTCTTGATGCATGATGCACAGTCTAGTGTTTCTCGCCTTCTCCCACCGTATATCCCCGAGCAATACCCGAGCGCCCTTCCTTGACCAAAGTGCTGTCATCCTTCTCTTCCCCTTCCTCGTCATACCGAATATCGAAGTCACTCCCCAGTCCAGTCCATGTTCGCTGCGATCGTAGGAATTCCGCACCGGGGGAAACCGCCCCGCCGATCATCGCTAGATCCCCCTTAGCCCGCCGGGCTAATGCCCTAGCAGCGGATGGACCGGTCGATCCATTGATCTGGGCAGTAGGAGCGCGGGGTGCGGGATCTCGCATCGGTCGGGAATGCGAAACGTATCGTCCAGTGCGTAGGTCAAACTCTGGCGGTGCACTCTCGGGTTCCGACATCTCATCATCGTCCAAGGTTGCACCGTCCGCTGCTTCGTCCCCTGTCGTCGACTCATCCTGTGGCTTGTCGAGGATGGCCTGGAAATCACTCTGCCAGACACCAGTCCAGACCCGTTCGGCGTCGTCCTGCAGAGCCAATTCCAATTCGAACGGCGTGATCACCGGCTTCCAGAAATCCTTGCTGTCCACCAGCGAGCTCTCCCAGCAGCCAATAACCACCCATCCGCCGATTTCGCTGAAGTTGGCGACCTTGGCCGCGTTCAGCTTGCCCACGACGAACATGTAGCTCTTCTTGCCGGCGGCTGCAATCTGCTCTTTGACGTGATTCACAATATGCAGGTAATTCTTGACGCTGAGCGTGTTGATCAGGATGCCCCAGATCGGGACGGTCGTGAGACGTGTGGTGATCGCATAGCGGCGGCGCAATGCCGCTGATGTAGATGCTGGCAATGGCTTGACATTTGCACTGCCCTGGGTTTCTGTGGGATAGATATGTATAGCAGCGACACGCGACGCAAGAGTCATTAAGAGGGCAGTTGGTGGGTCGGAAATGTGGAACAGCTGCCACTCCGACAGTGTCTCTGGTGCTTCTCGTACCGATTCTGGGACGGTGCGGTTCGGAATAGGCGACGAAGGATCGTGAACGATATCCGTCGCAAATAAATCACGGTACCCCTCCTTCACTAGGTGCTCATACAGCGTGGGGATATGGTGGGCGTAGGTAACATCGGCAGCTAGAATCAGTCTAGTCGTTGTATCGGTATAGGTCTCTTTGAAGGCTTGAACCACGGGATCGATGGAAAGTGGCTTGCAGGTGAAGACGTAGATTACCGGTAGTCTAGCCGTGGGCGACAGACACGATCTTCCATAGTGTACCACAACATCTGCATCCACATGTTCGGCAGCCACTTCGTCCACACAGCAAGTTCCGTATGAGGTATCGGCCAGAATATACAACCGCGGTGCCCATTTTTCAGCCTGCGCGTGCCCTTCCACTGAAAGCTGAGACACTCCATGAGTGATCTCGCCAGCGCCAGTTCCCTCTAACTCTGTGGCACCACCGTTTGTCTGGCCAGCAGAAGTGGTGCCATTCGCGACGGCTTCCTCCGAATTCAGACCCCGGCTGAGCAGTTGGAATACCCGCGGGGCATCAGGGAGCATATCATCGGGGAATTGAAGGGCGATGCGCTTATACCGAGCCTGGCGGATCTCTTTGAGAGTGCGCTCGATGTCATAGGTGATGGAGAGTTCGTCGTCGGAGATGCGTTTAGTGGGATCGATGGGGGTGATGGGCTGGGCTTCCTCCAGCATTCGGTCGTCCGGGGTTGATAGCACAGGAGCTGCCTCCATTTCAGAACCCATTTCAAGTTCTTCGTGCCCAGGTGATTTGTGGTGTGAGAGGGAGGCGGCGTGGTGGGGTGTCAAGTAAAGATTAAAGTGGGATGGGAAATTTTTCTCCAAAAGACATCCCCCACTTCCAATCGATAACAATTCCCCCGCCCCCGATTGGTAGACCGTCCACCAGCCTCTGGTATAAAAAGCTACCAATGCATCACTTGGGCCTCAATCTTGGAATAAACCTGCGCAACTTTGAACATGTCACTCACAGATTTGCCTTTAGAGCTGCTGACTCGTCTTTGCGAGCATCTGGAGCCTCAAGAATGGGGGGGCTCTCCGCATTTCTTGCCGCCAAATATACGACAAAACACTGGAAGCCTATACAACTCGATATTTTAAAAGAATCACGCTTCTCCTCACCTATGAAGGTCTCGAGCGATTGGAGCATGTTGCAGCCAGTGAAACCATTCGTGGCTCGGTCGAGGAAATTTGGATCATCCCGAACTTGTTCGATCACTGGGCAAACTTGGACAAGGTAAGTTTTACAAAGGTGGACTTTAGGATATATTTGTTGAAATTGGGACGTCATCCAACACCGGAAGAGCACAATGAAGTTCAGGCTGAGCTCGAGGCTCTGTTTGCCGTCTACAAAGCTACAATGGCAGAACACCATGCCATTCTCGAACCCCCAGGACTATTGGGTCGCCTTGAAAAATGCCTACCGCGCCTCGAGAACGCTGTCACCCTTGGGCTACGGTCTTACGAGACAATTTCCCTCTTGAATATAACGAGGAACACCGACTTGACTTGTCTGGGCTTACGTGAATTGAAGAGTCATTTCAGCTTCAAGAATCTCCCAATGTTTCGTCAGAGCGTCTCCTACATGCCCTACAGTTTGGTATTTTCACAACTACTTAACGCCATAATCAAATCCAGTCGAAAGGTTCAAGCCCTCCACACATGCAGCCATAGCTTTTGCGGCATGAAGTTGGAACCCTTTCAACTGCCAGAGTCACAGTATCAATCACTGCTTCCACTCCTGAAGGATTTGACAACTCTACATATGTGCATTCGCCTCAAAGATCACGAACAAGAAAACTTCGATGAAGACACCTTTAAACGTCTTCTCAATATCATGGTCACAGCTGCACCGATATTGAAGATTCTGAACTTTGCTCAATGGAGCCCCATAGAAGAGCTATCCCCTCTCTACTTCAAGGATGTTTCTCGGAGAATTCAATTCACCCAGTTACAGGAACTTCATCTTCACTCAATTGAGGTGACAGTGGATAGCCTCGAAAAATTTCTACGGACAGCAGCCCCAACGTTGAAACGACTCAGTCTGAGACTGGTCAGTTTAGTTGATAGGATAACATCTGCATCAGATCTAGGACCCCTGACTCAAGACAGCCGGAGTTGGGTCACTTCAATGTCCACGGAAGTCAAAAACGAGATGCAGGGGCTCTGGAAGCGCGTTTTCGAATTCTGGGCAGATCGCCTCAACCCGCAATACGTTGAACTGTCCATACTTGGGTACCGGGGAAGATCCATAACATTGCATGACAACTTGTATATGGAACGTGGACAACGGGATGCAGAGCCTTTCTCTGGCGTGAATCCCTCAAGCTTCTATTTTGACGCTGAGAAGGCTAATATACCTTTCAACGAATGGGTCACGCAGCTTCAGATAGAGATGGTGCATCTGCCATCTTTTGGCGGACCGTATGGGACATACGTTGGTGGACCAAGGCTTCCAGGGACCAGCGAAATCCAGTTGCATGACCTAGGCCAGAACCTCAGCAGGCAGGTCCCTGCGGTATGTAGAAATCAATCAAGAACGAACAGAGCATCTATAGATTAAGAGGATAGGATTGTATCCTGTTGCATGGTAGCAATTGAAGGTGCCCGTGGGCTAACACAGATGGCATTCCTTACCACTGACGCATAGTGATAGCCCAAACCATTAAATAGAGAATACTACGGGATTAATTGATATAAAACTCAAGTTCATTGTGACATTGTAACAGGCCCTGAAAGCTCCGTAGTAGGTATATGGCAGAAGCAATCAGCTGGAGCCGTTTATATCATCAGAGGTCCACTTATATTGTGAACCAGGGTGATCATCTCTCAAACGAGGGCCAAGGCCATCGTTGAAGAAATTCTCGCGAGTGGTCTTCGCGGCATACTCATCCCAGAATACTCCTCTCGAACGAAGCTCCGGTAGCAGATACTTAACAATGTCTTCGAAATCCCCAGGGTTAATCACATAGGCAAGATTGAAGCCATCAATTCCACTCTCCTGAATCCAACGCTCTAGAATGTCTGCCACAGTCTTGGGAGAACCGATTGCCCGAGGCGACGGTCCTCCAAGAGCGATCTCTTGCGCAACACGTTTCTTTGTCCACTTCAACCCATCAGTACCTGGGATCGTCTCCGTCCAGGAGTTGACCAAGCTTTGAATAGCACCGGGGCCCGTGAATCGAAAGTCTTCCTCATCACTGAAAGTGGAAAGATCTGTTCCTGTCCAGCCCCCGAAAAGCGTCGCAGCGCCTTCAAGATCCACATATTTCAAATAATCTTCATACTTAGCCTGGGCCTTTTCGTCCGTCTCGTCCACAATGGCAAGCATTCCCACAATTAATTTGATACTGTTCGGGTCTCTGCCATCCTGAACGAGACGTGCCCGAATATCATCCACTGATTTCTTTGCCCCTTGCGGATCCATCCCGGCCATAAACATACATTCAGCATGCTTTGTCGCGAAGGACTTTCCAGCAGAACTGGTGCCGGCTTGGAATATGAAAGGTGTTCGTTGAATGGAGGGTTCAACTGTCAACGGACCCGCCGACCGAAAAAACTCCCTGGAAAGAATTTAGTAACTCACTTACCAGGAACAGCTCTCCACAGATGATTCTTACCCTTCATGATTAATGCGACGTACGCGACCGGCGATTGTGTATTCTCCCTTCTCAACATCCTTTGCTACAGCATCATCGCGCCATGATCCTTCCCATAGCTTGTACGTCAAAGTCAGGAATTCATCCGCGATTTTGTAACGGTCGTCATGTTTGATCTGGGTTTCCAAGCCAATATTTCTCGCAGCGGATTCAAGGTGGCTTGTGACGGCATTCCAAGCCACACGCCCTTTAGTCAAATGATCGAGTGTCGCAAATCTTCTGGCGAGGAGGAAAGGATTCTCGTAGGTAGTCGAGGCGGTGATTCCGAACGAGAGGCCCTTCGTAACTGCGGCCATCGCTGCTATAGGGAGACTAGTTAAGACTGTTAGAATCGTCGAATTTCTACACTCTAACCCGGGTTATGCTCACAAGGGATCCGTAATTGGAAATTGGGCGACTCCTGCAAGACCAGGGTCTAAGTTGTCTGGGCCTTTATACACGTCGTAGGCTCCCAACACATCGGCGATAAAGAGTGCATGGATTTTGCCTTTCTCTAGCACTTTTGCCATGTCAGTCCAGTACTCGATATCGGTGTACTGGGCAGAGCGATTTCTTGGGTGGCGCCAAAGTCCTATATCGGAATTAGCTTCAACCTGACTCTGGTACAGTCCAAGTTTCCGAATATAATACCTGGTGCTAGATGGCCCGGAGTGCTCATAGTAAAGCCATTCAGGATCCATTCTTTCTTCTCTATCTGACTCCCAGCCTCAGATGCTTGTGCCATGATTGTCTAGAGCCTCTAAGGTTATCATACCTAGGGACGGCCTCAAGGGGGGGGGCCTAGTAGCAGCCCTATATACTTCGGAAATTCAGCTAGTACGCCCAATTCTGAACCACTAGTACTATCACTCACTAGTAGTAGCAGGTCTCACAATTTGGAATTTTACTAGTACCGTATCGGTGACTTGGATTTCTATGACAGCTATTTTGCTCTCGGTCATCGTGCCGACTGCTAAACGGTACAAAATGAGCACCTCAGCCCTATAGACTATCACACCATCTCAAGCCACAAAGATTTTCCCGAGAAAGTATTTCAGTTGGAGTCAGTACTACTAGTTGTATAACGAGAAGGACTCGTTATATTGAAGTCGTAGATTCAACGCATTGGCCTCGAGAGTCCCGTCTAAATCCAAGAAGATCGGCTAATTCTCTACCAATATCAATATCCTCCGAGTGGATCGATTCAATATCTCCAAATGACGTGATTTAGATTAATGTGAAATGGTCTTCTTACTGCTGGTCTCAGAATATGGTGACTGGTCTTGCTTATAACCGGAGAGAAGTGAGGCAAGGCTTGTTGGTAGGTGACTTTGACGATACCTCATACACATTCGGAATATTTGATCGTTTTCTACTATGGTGTATCAGGTACCACCACCTCTTCCCCAAGGGGCAGGCTATGGCGTGGTAGTTGGCCTAGGTGTAGCTTTTGCTCTAGGTATTTTCGATTCTTTCTGGAAAGGAATGACGGTGGGCTAATTCTTTTTTTAGGGATGATCTGGGTGACAAATATCATCAAGAAAACCTTCAATGAGGATTCAAATAGTACAGAAACATTCATGGTCGCAAACAGAACGATTGGAACTGGACTCACAGCGTGTGCTGTGATATCCTCCTGGTTATACAGCTCCGCCCTCCTCGGAGCGTCACTCTTGACATACAATTATGGACTTGCGCTTGGAGTTTGGTGGGGTGCATCCGCCAGTACCATGGTGACTTTGATGGCATATCTTGCCATTCAAGCGAAACGGCGAGCACCAAATGCGCACACGCTTCTGGAAATCATTCGGGTGCGATACGGAAAATCAGCACATATACTGTGGATATTTCTCTGTCTCTTGAACAACGCTTTTATATTCTCAAGCATGATTCTCGGTTCAAGCACAAGCGTCAGTGCTCTGACCGGAATGAATGTGATTGCGTCTTCATATCTTCTCCCTCTGGGCGTCGCTGTCTATACTTATTTCGGCGGACTGAAGGCGACCTTTCTAACGGACTACGTGCATACATTTATTATTATGATAATTATATGCTGGTTCACCATAAAGGTCATCACTGTGAATGAAATCGGATCAATTGGCGCATTATTTGAGTTGGTTGTCGCAGTCGGCAAAGAAAAGCCCGTCAGTGGGAATTTCGAAGGTTCATACCTCACAATGAGAAGCCAGCAGTGTCTTTTCTTCGGAATTTTGCATGTGACAGGAAACATAGGAGGTGTTATAATGGATACTGGATTTTGGCAAAAGGGCTTCTCGGCCGACATAGCAGCTGCAGTTCCAGGGTACGTTCTCGGCGGTGTTGCTTCATTCTCAGTACCTTGGTCTTTTGGGACTATCATCGGTCTAGCTGCTCTAGCTTTGGAAAAAACGACCATTTGGCCAACATATCCAAACGCTATGACCGCGGAAGAAGTCAGTGCTGGACTTGTCCTCCCTTATGTCGCCCAAGCTGTGGCTGGAAAAGTCGGAGCTGGCACTATCCTTGTCGTTATCTTTATGTGGACGACCTCGATTGCCTCTGCGCAGCTAATCGCGACTAGCTCGATCATTTCATTCGACATATACGGCACTTATGTGAACAAGGCGCCGACGAATGACCAATTGATAAAATGGTCGCACATTGGTGTTATTGGGTCATCGCTTTTTATCTCGACGCTGGCGACTGCTTTCCACAAGGGTGGTGTTGACATGACCTGGCTACTTTATATGCTAGGACTAATCACATGCCCCGGTGTATTTCCAACATGCTTTGCTCTTTTATGGAAGCGTCAGTCAAGGGTGGCTGCTATCACCGCCCCGATCGTCGGGATGATCTCTGGATTCGCTGTTTGGTTTGGAACAGCACACTATTATAGCGGCAATATTAGTATTATCTCGACTGGTGGAACTCTTCCCTGCCTCTTTGCTACCTTGACCGCATTCTTCACTCCATTGCCAGTTACCCTTGGAATTTCGCTCTATCAACAGCAGGAATTTGATTGGACTGTGTTTGGACAAATTGCGCAAGTCAAACCTGATGGGAATGCGAACACAAACGGACGGACTGATGATACTGAGCTTCTGACTCCAGAGCGTGTCAAGTACCTGAAGAGAATGAGCAACTGGGCAGCTTTCTGGGCAGTTTTCACTTTCATTGGCCATGTTTTCCTGTGGCCTATACCCATGTTTGGGGCTAGGATGTCGTTTTCGAAATCAGTGAGTGGTCAAAATTTATGAAGCAAACATCCAACTAACAATTTGATAGTTCTTCATTGCTTGGATTGTGATATCTCTTATTTGGCTGTGGATGACTTTGGTAGTCGCGATTTTCTACCCATTGATTGATGGTGGTTTGCAACAGATCTGGACAGTACTGAAAGTATGGAAAGGAGGCAAGACTGCAAAAGGCGCAGACTCGCAACCGGATCTACCTTCGTCAACAGAAGAGGTCAACTATGTAGGTAAGGCTTGATTGAGCATCAAGAATGAGAAATATACTGGGTATCAAGGGGAATGCCATCGGTTCTTCTTTCTTTGAAGAAGTACGAAGCACCGACGAAATACATATGATAACTTTGCAATTTGTACATGAGAACACCACTACTTCGAGTTCAATTTGAACTTCAATACTTCAAATTTTATTTCAAGCTTTGGAATTTCAGCTTCCCACACATTATATAGTATAAGACTAGAGTCACTTCCGGTGGTACTGGAATAAATTCCGAAAGATTTGAAGGGTTGGATAACAAGCTTAAATTCCAACCTAAACGTATACTAGCAGCTCGGAGTGAGACTCTTCCAAAAGTGCATACCACCTCGCTCATAAGAAGCCCAAATCTAAACCCTATAGTCCTGCTATCAAATAGGAAATCTTCTCGATCATGGAAATGTTGGGGCCAAGCTTCGTGATCCAAATTAAATTTCCACCACTCTTCGGATATTTTCAGAAACCCTCCGTCTATAGTTTCGATACTCTCTCCAACCGAACTGTCGGATATCTCCAAAAATTGCTCTTTTCCGTGAGCTATGAAGTCAATAATCACTCTCACCTCATTTGTGGATTTGTCATTCATAAGTCTGGATGTGGAGATTTTGAATTATGCTAGAGATCCTACGGGCTTCAGGTTAACTCTATAATAACAGCGACTATTTCATCATCAATAGACTAAAGAAAAGCCGGTGAATTAGTCCTAAGACTCAAAAAGTACTGGTACGGTTTACCATTCCCTATCAATTTAGTTTGAATTTGATACTAATGACCAATAGGATGAACGTCGGACTTTGACTCGGTTGAGATGAGACGCCCGGGCGACAGGGGCTAGTGATAACCCCGGCGACAAGCCGCTATCAAGTTCTATATGATTCATTCTGAACTCTATCTTGATTTAAACCAAATTCTATGATTCAAACCCGAATGACGTGCCGGGCGACAAGGATTTTAATATTTGCCGTTTAGCAGTCGACAACAGGCTAGACAAGCGAACGGACCTCCTTCTAGCGGCATCAAAGGGACAGTGGATAGATATGAGGCAAGTGTACATACAGTGCTTGAAGGAATGTCTCCACCCTTTGCCGATATCGTTTGCACAACGCTTATGGTGCAATCCATCTAGACCTGCTATTTTCATCATGCCAGAGTAGAAACTCTATGTATAAGAGGCGAGGCAAATTTAGTTATCAGAATTATTTTGAAACTACACAAGCTCTTCTTCATTCAAGTCAAAGTTTGACCAAATTAATGAATCGATCTAAATCAAAGAGCCGTGGTTGGCTGAGCTGGTGGTTTTCGGATGAGGATTCACCCGACGAACGACGACTTCTGACAAAGCTTGACCTACTCATAGTTCCCTATGCTATCTTAGCATACTGGACGGTCTTCCTTGATCAAGCTAACTTAAGTAAGAAACCCAGTCGCAAATCGCTTCGAAAAGAGATATCCATACCCTAATACCACATAGACAATGCGTATGTTTCCGGCCTACAACAAGATTTAGGATTCTACGGCAATGAGCTTGTTCAGCTACAAACCCTATACAGCCTTGGTTCAACCATTGGTCAGATTCCCTTCGCTTATATCTTCACACGCTTGCCGATGTTCTGGGTGATACCATTTCTCAACGTGGCATGGGGAGTATTCACCCTCCTTCAGTATCGAGTGACGAGTTTTGCGGAGTTAGCAGCTTATCGCTTCTTGGTTGGGATATTTGAGGTTTTTCCTATCCCCACTCTCTCCCTCATCTTCATTTCACTTACGAAGCCTTTTTCAACAGTCTGTCTATTTTCCAGCCGTCCATTTTGTTCTTGGTATGATATTTCCAATATTCCCGATGCACTTACCCTTCAACCGCTAATGCCAATTCAGGTGCATGGTATCGTGGCGATGAAATCGGACGGCGCGGGGGGGCTTTTCTACTGCGGACTCCCAACCGGAGTGCTGACAGTAAGTTTCATTCAGGCTGCTGCGTCGGCAAATCTCGATGGCGTAAACGGGATTGCTGGTTGGAGATGGATGTACATCATTTGTGGAGTGATAACCATCCCGCTTGGTTTTATTGGATATTTCGTCCTCCCAGGAACGCCCGATAAACCAAACAGAATACCCTTGAGTGAGAACGATGTCAAGCTTGCCAAGTCGAGATTGGCCCGTGTAGGTCACGGAATTGATCAAGAATTCAAGTGGTCGAATCTGAAGTCATCTTTTCGGAATTGGAAGATTTGGGCATTCGTCGTTGTGGACATTTTCTTCTGGAATACAGGCGCCATTGCAACATCTGGAAATTTCTTACTATGGCTGAAGAGTCTGAATCGATACACCACAAGCAAGCTGAACGAGCTTTCTGCCATTCCACCTGGCCTTGGGATAATTTATACACTCTTTATCTGCTTCTCGTCAGATCTTTACCTTGGCCCAGTCTGGGCTATCACATTATCCCAAACAATCAGCATTGTCGGCTTGGTAATTGCTGTGATTTGGACCGTCCCAGAACCAGCGCTATGGTTTTCTTTCTTTACGAATTATTTTTCGATTGCCCAGTCAAGCGCGCTCTACGGATGGGTGAATTCTGAGCTACGAGCAAACCCGGCGGAGAGATCTATCACTCTTATCACAATCAACATCCTCGCTCAGTCGACAACAATATGGACGCCGCTTATATTTATGAAGACGACGCAAGCGCCAAGGTATCCCATGGGATATCCATTCTGCTTGGCGTGCGCGATCGGATTCGTCATCTCCACTCATGTCACCAACATGATCAACAAGCGCCAGCGGTCAGTTCAGTGCCAGCATGGCCATTCAAAATAACTAACCATTTCCAGACATCGAGAACGAAACCTAACGAGCGAGACTGGGTCTAATGACACCCTTGAGAATGTGGAAATCGTGCAGGCAGCGATTCCAAATAAAATTGCCCAAGGAGATACATCAAGACAAAGAATTTCGGTTTGACCGGAATAATTATAGCTGGGACTTTAACAGATATGGCATTCCTTAACTCTGACGCATAGTGATAGGCCAAAGTATCTTATTAGTTTGAAAATATCAATACTAAATCCACAACTCTCCTCATAAATCATCATAAATCAGCGCGCGCCGGTTCACCCGCCCAAACACGGCGAATAAGTTCCCGAATCGGCTCCCGCTCAATGGCCCGAGGATTCCAATAAGGATTGGAGACAGCAATATCAGCTGCCTTATCCACATCCTCCTCCTTCATGCCAAAGTCCTTCAGTCCACGCTTAACCTTGAGCTTGGTCAACAGAACATTCAAACCATGGATCGCATCGCCATTGCTATCCGGTAGCGCATCAGCAAGCAACTTCACAGACTCGGGAATATTGGGAGCATTGTAAGAGATAGCATGGGGCAGGACAGCGGTGTGAGTCTCTGCGTGAGGAAGATTGAAACTACCGCCCAAGGTGTGACACAGCTTGTGGTGGATGGACATGCCGACGCTACCGAGGCATGTTCCACAAAGCCATGCACCGTACAGAGCGCGAGAACGAGCAGATTGCGAGGAGGGATCCTCGACGATCTCGGGGAGGGCGGATGCGAGGGCGCGTGTGCCTTCGATGGCCATCATGTTGATGATGGGGTTTGTGTTGCGTGCGTAAAGAGCCTCGACTAAGTAGATATTAGCGATCTGCACTGGTCAGATTTCCACAGCGCAAAGACTCACCCGCATGAGCAATTGCATTGACACCGCTGGTAGCACTCATCGCCGCAGGTAAAGTCATGGTCAGGTCGACATCGTAGATGACCGTGCCGGGCAGGATCTTAGGATCAGAGCGAGTCTTCTTCAAACCATCGGCCGTCTCACCCAGGATGGGTGTCATTTCACTTCCAGCATATGTTGTCGGAATACAGATATGCGGCAGACCTGTGCGAATACTAATTGCCTTGCCCAATCCGATGGTGCTACCACCACCAATGGAGATAACCGAATCGGCACCTTGGGCCTTCGCATAATCGAGAGCCTTATCGGTAATGTGGGTCGGAGTGTGCATGGTCGCTTCGCTGAAGATACCGGCAACCTGGCCCTTGAGGACCTCCTTGACGGTCTCGGCCTGACCGATCTGCTGGGGCGTCGACAGCACCAATGGCGCCTTTACTTGTAAACGGGTAATCTCCTCAGGCAATTTCTGGAGAGTGCCGCTGCCGAAGACGACACGGCCGGGATTGGGGTTGTACTCGAAGGCGTCCATTTTGATGTTTCCGATAGTCACTGGCAGACCTATGGAGATTCTAGGGCGATCCGTCGGATCTTATATTCAAGGCTTCCCCCCCACACCCCACCGGATTCGCTCAGCGTCATAGCTGGCCGTGGGGCCGTGGGGTCGAGTCGGCAGTTCTCACAGCACGGTCTTCCGATGGCCATTTAATATGCTGATGGTGGTCTCGTTTGAATGCCGATTCTGAGAACAAACTGGATTGATATTCCGCTGTCATATATCTGCTTCAAGGTTGTTCGTAGTCTTTCTGAAGTGGGTTGTTGTAAGGTGAATGAAGAAACAGCGGAAATCCCCCGCTGATGTCAGCATGAATAAGCTCAGTCTCGGATATAATTTTGCCATTCGGATGTGAATTGTTGAATTGTTTTCCATCATTCCAATGCCATCTAATTTACTTCCGAACTCAATAAAATACTGTCGGCTAATAATGTACTTTTTTTCAGTTTCTCCAGGGTATCAAATAACTTGAACTTGAAAATCATGCAGCATCGCATCAGTCCATATCGGCGAATCCCATAACGTGCTGTCCACCACTACGGTCCTTGCCCTTGGTCTTCTTGCGCTTCTTGCGATCCACATTCTGTCGTTCTTTCTTATCATCATCAGAGTCATCGCTGTCATCACTGTCACCGAGGAAGTGCTTGCCGCCACCCATCTCATCATCTCCAGCATCAGTCTGCATAGCCTCGTGCCAGACCTTGACGATCTGTCCACCACCAGAGACCATGCGACCCTCAACATCAAATCCGAGACCAACAACACCCTCGGTTTCATCGTGAATGGCTTCTGAGACAACCTTGTTGGCACCAAGACGAACAAACTTGACCTGACCGTTCCCGAGACCAGCAGCGATCATCTTGCCGTGGCCCAGCTCATCTGGCACAACCGCCATGGTCTCGATAGACTCGCCGCCCTCCGCGTCACGGGACACGTAGATCCGCTCATCTTGGTCATCCCAAGCGCCCTTCTCCCAAAGGGTCAAGACACCACCAGCACCTCCAACAGCGACCTTCTCACCGCGACTGGTTCCGGTGGTAGCAAGACCGCCGATATGAGTCGAACTGACGAGCTCTTCCTCCTGGTCCTCACTGCGCATAAGGACACCTCTCCTCAGGTCCGTCACGGCGAGAGTGGTGCCGCCAGTGGTGACCCATTGCTTGCTGAATCCGGAGGTACTGGCATCGGAGGCCGGAAGGGGAGTGAGGGAAGAGATGTAATCGTCGTGAGGGTGGTGGGACTGTTCGGGCTTAACAGAGATCTTTGAGTAGGGAATCCGCAGGTCGTAGAGGTGTAGAGCGCTGGAGTCGGTAGCGAGTAGAAGAGTCTGAGGGGAGAGGGCATGGATCACGGTGGGCGCATCGATGGAGCTGAAAATGCCAACATGGTTAGATGAAAAGTGTCCAATTGCATACATAGTGACAAAGCTGGTTCATACCCGTTCTTTTCAAGAGGAATTGCGATCTTGTTGGTCACCTTGCCAGTCTCGGAATTGGCAGCTTTGATTAGACCGTCGGTGCCGGCGGAGTATAGAGTCTCGCCGTCAACTCCATATGCCAAGCACCGACAGCTGCCCTTGTGTCGCCTCGTCTTCCACATGGTATCAATGTGTCCCCTTCCATGCGACGAGGAGCATGAACCTGCATCATCCTCGTCATCGGCCTCATCCGACGGTAAGCGGAAGGTCTGGACATGACCAGCAGCCAAACCAACAGCGACCACGGGCTCTCGAGGGTGAATGGCCTGAGAGAACAGGTCTGACGAGAGTGGAAGCGAACAGATTGATTCAAACATGGTGAAATATGTGCTGAGAGAGAGGACCAAACTGAACCAAGCTGAACCGAAGAAGAAGATCGTCGGAGCTTCGGAGCTCAATCTTTTTTTTCTTCGGGCCGAGAGATCTTCCGCTCTTTCTATCAACACTTCAACTCACAGCTACCCTTTCTTCTACTCTTCTACTCTCAATGACAATAACAATGACAAAGAAACATTCGATTGAAAAAACAAATGAACGATAGTAAATGAGAGCCCCACAGGAGTCATTCTCTCTAAAGAAGTGAAGGAATAAATACAACCATCTCCGTTACAACACAACCCCACTCATTCAGCTGCTCCCCGCATATACTTTGCAGCACGATTAGATCCATCAAGATCAATCATAGCTCCTCAATGCCTCAATTCCAGTCTCCCCACTCTTAAGAAGAGTAGGTGGAGCCAATGGGACCAACCTTGATGTTCGAGAAGACCACCTTGGCATCAGCCGAGGCAGACTCGACATCACTAGGCTTCCCAGAGTCAGTGCCACAAGTGCCACGAGCAACACCAGGGTCAGTAGCTGTGGCGTCGGTGGGGTAGTTGCTGTCCAACCAGAGCATGTTGGCGTAGTGGTCATCCCACAAGCTCATGACGAGAACCATACCCTGCTCCAGGCCCTCGCCCATACCAGACATGCCGTTGTACTGAGCGAAGACGTCCTGATCGCCAAAGGCCTCCTTCTGCGCGGTGCAGAAGTCCGAGTTGATCGAGTTACCAGTGACACCGGTAATATCAGAAGCCGAGTTGGCAATGACCTTGCCGTTCTGAACATAGATACGCTTGATCTCGCTGAGGGTGCCGGTGGCGGTACCGTCGCTGGTGATGAACTGGGTGACAACGGTCATCTTAGAGCTGGTATCAACAGTCTTGCCGGGGCCGTAGAAGCTCTCGTTGCCCATGCGGTAAGGGTTGATGTCACATCCGTCGGGGTCGCAGGTTCCGGCGTAGCGGGTGGAAGAGTAGGTGCCGCCGCAGTTGTCGCCCTCGCACATGGTCTGTCCGGCCTCCTTGCAGGGGTGGGCAGTCACGGCGGTTGAGATACTGTTGGCCTCCCAGATATCCATCTCCGCACAGCAAGAGCCGTGGCCGCCAACACCAGCGTTGGCATCGTTAGAGGAGGGCTCCCAGCCGTCGACGTTGCCCTATTCAGATATTAGTATGATGGCCGAGCTATGATTTTCGGGCTGGAGGTACTCACCTGTCCGTTGATGAACTTCAGGTCACGGGGGCACTGCGCGTCACAGTAACCAGTTCCGTACTTGGCACCAGCCTTGTTGTTCTCGTACTTGGACATGCCACCGTCGGCATCCATGGCGACGAAGTACAAGGCGCCGTTGAGACCGCAGGAAGAGCGGAAACGTCGACATCAAAGGTGAACTCCTGGTTGAGGAGCTTGAAAATCTGGTAGGTGCTGTCATCCTCCATCAGGAACAGACGAGAGCCGACGTTGGAGCCGGTCTTGAAGGTCAGTGAGAGAGACTCGCCACTAGCCTCCACACCGTAAGTGCTAGAATAGTCTGCGCCATCCAGGGCACAGTTTGTGGCACAGGTCTCGTCGTCCGGGCAGAGAGTCGCATCCCACTATAAGAAAGATCAATTGTCAGCTCTTTCACTGATTTCCCTCCGCAGGCAAGATTCAACTCACCGTGTTGCCGGTGTAGCAGTTGGTGGATCCGCTGGTTGAGTGAACCCAACGCCAGTTGGCATCGATACCAACAGATCCGGATTGATCAGTGCAGCCACTGGCAGTGCACTTTTGCCAAGTCAGAGAAGGCTTGGTCTCTGATTTCTGCGTACCAGCCTGCTGGGCTTGAGCGACGGCCACGAGGGCAGAAAGAAGTAGTGCGCGTTGCTGCATATTTGGCAAAGAGAAAGGAATGAATGCAATTGTCGGTCGTCTGTCCTGCAGCTGATGAACAAAAAGAAACAACCAGGACATACCGATGCCATCTTTATACCATTCTCTTTCGAACTGATATCCATCTCTCACTTGCCGTGCAAGGCTCAAACAAGTTCTTCCGCCGCATCCTGACGGTGCGACGGACCGCGAGACCGTCCCCAATCTGGCAAGACAGGACCCTTCATCTAAGCAACGGGGGCTTCCAGATTGGGTGATGGCCGGTGTCATGCATTGATTTGAGAGTGGATCAGGCACCCAGATCAGGACGGGAAAGATCTTCAATGAAAGTTTTGTCAAACCAAGATTTGGACTGGGGAACGAAGTGAGGCGTATACTCAAGCTCTAGCGGTTTCAATATCTACAGTCACGGAGTAACCCCCGAACCACGTTTGTATGGGGTAACATTGTTCTTGGTCTTTTTCTTTCTTTGACTACTATATGTCCAAGCGCCAGGGCATTCTATTGCCTATGGCTGCTAAATGATAGAGTTTTCGGGTTGGCGTCTCATCTTCTTAGCCACAAACATTCTTTGCGGAGTATAGACCAGGGTCATGAGACGCCAGTGGGGGGTTAGACCAACCAAGAGTGTCACTAGAAGCCCTTCCCAGAACGTGGCTGGACCAGTGGGACAGATCACTGCGAACATTACCAGATCCAGGCTACTGAGTCTTTCTGAAGCATCTGGATAACCGTTCGGGTATAGAGCGTTTCAGATCGGCGACGTGCCCCTCCCCGGTAATATTCAGCCAGCGACTCGGGACAAAGCAGACTAAATATCCTTCAATGAGAGTACAGCTCACAAGCGCCCAGGACACGTCTTCTTAACGATTGTACCTGGCCATATATCAATTCGAAACAGGTACACTTCTGTTGATGGGCGAGTTTTGCTGATCGGCATGGATGGGTTTCGGCGGATAGTAGGTAGAGTGCTGGCAGCAATGGCTTCTATTCACGAAAATAGAAATCAACTTCTTTCCTTCTAGAATAAGGCTACATATTTGCAATTATTAAGCTCTATTGCACACAACTCATGATCGGCACATCTACCGATAGCCCTAAGGAGGCTACCGTCGCATGTAAACTTGATCAGCTCCAAGTCCCAAACAAGTACGAAACTGACTTGGCCCTGAGTCCCTGACCCACTGTGGGCGGACTCACTAAATCCCAACGCTTGATGAGTGGATAAAACTATACCTAGGTAACTGATTGGGCCGAAACTCGCGATCTGGGTCAACGACGGTATGAAGGGTGACCGAGGGGGGCTTGGCTTGTCGCGCCGATCGTTTGCGGGGCTTTTTGACAAGACCATTAAGATTGGACCTGTAGTAGACTCTAAAAAGCTAGACTTGTATACCGAGTTTTGAAATCGTGCCAAACTCGAGTGCATTCGTTTTCTGCTAGTACTTTCAAGAGGTGGAAGGCTGACCGTGTCGATAATGGGGCAAAGAATTACCATCTAAACCCGGCAATAAAAGCCACCTTCGAAAGTGGCGGGGCCCCTATTCTTTGAAGAATATTGCAGGGCTTCCCCACATTTTGCTAGGGTATTACATTGGCCGACCGTTGCATGACAGCGCAAGGGTCCCCAGTTGAAAGTGGCGGTTATCCTGATGCGAACCTTTGATCTCGGTCACTGGCGGAAGACCTGTTGGAGTAAGTCAAGTTGAACACAGCCTGACCTCTACCTCTCACAGCGATGAAATTGAATTGAATTTTGCTGAAAGCGACACGGCCGTTCCATTGCATTAGTTGAGGTCTATTTGATCAAGTTCCTGGCCGATCTTCCAAGTCTTAGCAATATTCTCTACATGAGCGAACTGAGCCTCGGAGATCATAAGATGAAGACTGTCATTGGTGCCAAAGACAATGCAGGCCTTGGCCGTCGGATGTACCCACGCATAGACCGGCTTGTCGGCGTTTAAGCAGGTCTTCCGGAATCTGGTGCTGATCTTTGCCCCCTGAGAAAAGGCATCACGGAATCATATTCCCAAATCCCTTGGCGTTGGCTTATTTAGCCTGAATAATAGCACATGGTAAGCCAGGGCGGAGCAGAATGCCGTCTTGTTGATGATAATTAGATTAAACTAGTTTGCCTAGGCATTCCAAGGTTGCGAGTTCTCTATCCAATTTATCCTTGGAACTCTCAAGTCACCATATCATTCTACCTAGGTATCATATTCACTAGACCCCCATGCTACCATCAAATATGAACGAGGCCCAATCGATCGCCCATTCATCGACTACATTTTCCGCCGTGAAAGAGTCAAGTCGATCATTATCTTGGACTGGAGCCGAGGATAGATGGTTCAACATGGGGCAAAAGTCGGCTGGGAAATGAAACAAGGTAGCAAGATACTGCCTGTCCTGCTCTGGAAGAAATATGGGCGGGGAATCCCACATCGTCGCAGATTCGCTAAGAGCAGCTATTCGATTCTGTACCAGAGGAGCGGATGTATGTTTCTCGCCTATCTTTCCAAGTATCTGTTGGCTGATTCTCAACTCTTCGGCATGTGCTGGATTGAGCAATTCACAATCACCAAACGTGCGAGGGATAGCGGCAACCAAATTTGCCCAGGAGTGGATTGGAAGCAAATATGTCGCGTCCTCATGGAAGAGGATCTCTTCGTATAGCTGAGAGATACAGGAAGAAGCTGCCATGGATGCGTATTTGAATAATGAAGAATTATCACGTCGGCCAAGGAAGAACGTCAAGATGGAAGTCACCAAGTAGAAAATATGCAGCTCCAAGACGAGACGATTATAAGGACGTCGAGACGTTCTGCTTTCGTCGAATAGTTGTAAGTCGTCGGTTAATTGATCTCTCCATTGAACCAATTTTTCAAGTGCCGACTGCACTTCTTCTCTCGAAGTTTTATCAGATCGACCAAGTTCTAACACTCTGCGAAGCAATTTGCAAAGGGAGACAAGCGCACAAAAGACGTGGGCCCCGGTGTCAGGCGTATCGAAATCACTCGGTTTAGGCAACGGGATACGAGTCCCGTCTATTGGAAACATGCCAGGACACCCGGTGCAAGCCATCTGCAATGTATCATTGTTGAAAAGGTACCACCATATTCTGATAGCGGTCTTGGGCTTCGGAAGATGTCGATATGTTTCTTCTTCATGCAAGTGCAACTGGAGCGCTAGTCGAATTGCCATACCTGTCCATTGCCAAGGGCTATCTAAGACTATAGCATCCGCCGAGTATGGAAACCAAGTTCCCAGGATGCAAAGAGCAACGAGCATGTTAAAGGGGTCAGGGTCATGGCGTAAGAAGAGTAATGTCTTGATGCGACCGTAGATAGCAGAAGGAGACCATTCGGCTGGCTCTTTCGATTGACGCATAGTACTTCCCGCAAAGCACAGACATTGCTGTATTAAGAGAGAATCTTCGGTCTCTGTCTGTTGACAATCAAATACTGGGACCAGAGGAAAGAGTTCCTTGAAATAGAAGTCTCCCAATGCCTGCCTTAGGGCCGGTGGTGGAAGATGGGTTGCATGGCTAGCTTCTAGAATTGAATCGGTGCCTTGTATGAAATTTGGCTGGTTCTCCCATGTCTTTTCTTTCGGCTTCCAAGGAATGGAATGGCAATTGTGTGAATGTGTATTCAAGACGTATGGAGAAGGCGTAGGTTGATCCGTTATAGTTAGAGCCGATCTGTCAGGAGATGAAGCCACGTAAAGCAGCGTTCCTAGAGACTGGCGCAGAGCCTTTTGTTTCCGAGGCCCAATATGGAGACTGTTTGGGTTGGCTCTGGAACATCATGCTATCTATCATGGGTGTAGTGCGTACTTGCATTGGTGGCCTTCACGCTGGCAACGAGTGCAGCTGGCACCTGGGCGCTCTTCGAGATCGCATCGAACCTTTGATCTTTACGTTAGACCCGCATAACTATTTTTTTGAGATAGGCTTACCTTGCGACGGTGACAGCGAATACACACGGCGCGTGCCCGACGATGCGGATCTGAGCTACGCGCTTTCGGCATTCTAGCGGCAAAGCTGAGCGTGGTGTTGGATGAGAGCCGAGTGGAGGTGGACAGACGGGCCAAATGGAGGATTTGCCGAGCGCCGAGCAAGCGGTTTGCCGAGACATCCGGAGTCTACGATCAATTATCTTCTGTAGTTGAGAGTCTTTTATGGCTGTATAGGTATACATTGAATGAATATGGAAGTATCAGTTCCCAATTGCATATTTCCAGGTAGCCACCACTGCTCAACTTCTTTTTGACTCAACTACTCGTGTATTGCGCGACTGTCAGCGCTGTTCGGCTAACATTGTTCGGCTAACCACAGTCTCGGTTCTCCAACCTGAAGTTAAATAATTTAGTTTAGTACGAGTTGTTGTCATTTCTTTCTCGATAATTGGTGTCATTACATTTTTTGAACAAAATACTATTGACCTTCTGCGACGACCCTTCACTCTCGGCCTTCCCAATATTTGATCCAGCAACACAGGCCCTATGGCATCACCAAACGATCAAGATGTGCAATTGACGTTCTTGACCACAGGAACCGTCCGCATTAGACCGTCAATGAAATCCCAGCCGGCCAATCAACCGGCTATATTCCGTCGCCTTCGTTCTCTTTGTGACAGAAAATGGACAGAACCTCTACCCGTTGGCGTATTTCTCCTCCGTCACCCTGAAGGCAATTTCCTCTTTGACACAGGCCAATCTCCCTGCTGCAATAATGCAGGCTACTTCCCACGCCTCGCCTTTTTCAATGGGCTATTGAGCGAATTCACTCTGCAACACAAAGATGGAATTGTTGAACAACTCCGTGGCCTTGGCGTCGAGCCTACCGACCTCAAAGGGATTATTCTCAGCCATCTACATAATGACCATGCTGGAGGACTGGAGGATTTACTGAATAAATCCCCAGATCTACCTGTTTATATCAGTCGAGAGCACTGGAAAGCCTTTGGAGAACACCCTCTTTTCGCAAGCATGGAAGGTGCAACTCCAAATCACTGGCCCAAGGGGTTCGCACCTAGGATTGTCGACCTTGAAGACAAGCCACTTGGACCTTGGAAAAAGTCATTTCCCGTGACTGATGATGGGAGAATTGTTATCGTGGATACTTCTGGTCACGTCCCTGGCCATGTAGGCTTGGTGATCTACAGCCGTGGAAACAATAATGGAAAACAGACCACATATTTCCTTCCCGGCGACGCAACATATGGCTTGGGTTGTTTGGATAAGGAAGAGCCGGATGGTATTAATGATGATCCCATGCGAGCGTTGGGCACCCTGAAAACAATCAAGCAATTTGCTAGAGAAACTGAAGTCGTCATATTGCCCAGCCACGACCCTTCCACTCCCCGATTGCTTGCCGATCAAGTGGTTTACCGGCCGAGCGACCTTTGAATAAGAGTGCGGGGAAATGATACCCTGAGATATCTAGCTTGATAGACTCAATTAACAAACAATCTTGATTTTGTCTTGTCTGAACATCCTTCGGGGCCTGCTTTGGCACCAAATTTCTATTTTTGAGTTGAATTAGGCCTCCCATCTAGACGGGAAGGCCGATACTTCCTACGCCAAAGACAATGACCCATTTTTGACCTTTTTTATCTATTACTATGCTCTCTATTGAATATGCAATGATTTCCGAGAAGTTGAAGAAGTTGGTACACTCCTCGTACTCCGTAGTTGCTCGCTATTTGGTTACTCGCTGCCGCAAGGGGTGACCACAAATTGTCGCTTGATGTTCCGAAGTGGAGTTGGTGATGACGAGTTTGTGGTTGTTGCTACTCTCTTTTCTCTTCTACTCAGAGGGCAGACCAGGATTCGAGTACGGTATCGAGGCAGGTCTTCTCCGTTCTCAGGACCCTTGAATCAATTTTTCTGTACTCCGTACTGGGTATCCGTACGGAGCACCTATAACGTGTGGGGAATGTCTCTTGTAGGGACAGGAGCACCGAAGCCGATAGGCTTACCAGGGGGAACAAGAGGGTCTGGCACGCGAATCAAGATTCAAGGAATAGGGTCTTGTGCGAAATGCTAACTGCGCTAGGCTTGGTAGGACTTGGCATTGTGGCTTGGCATGTGGAGAGTCTTCAGGGGAAGCCGGTTTTTCTGCTTACTTGCAGTGCGATTGGAGTAAGAGCGCCGCTAGTTCGTAAAGGTCGTAAATGACGTTGGTTCGTTCTCGCACTTGTGTTCAACTGCTCGTGTGACTTGCTACCTTGTCTGTCAGATCGACTTGGCAGGATCTTAGCCTTATGTATAGAACTTGAAGTTGGGAACTTTCGTAACCTCCAACAATGCATTTATAAGGAATTCCCTAGTTGGCTCGTCCCCTGTTTAGTACTACTCTTTCACACACAATTGAAATTCAAATGATGCTTGCCCTGAGTGATCGATTTCTTTCGCTCCCCAGCGAGGCAGCGTTTGTGCGCAAACCCCTAAACTCCAAGACCCCCAATGGTGGCGCCCCACCGACGCGTGGCGAGAAGTTTTCTTCGCCCATCTGCAGTCCATATTCCGCTCCATGGGGCATGTATTCACCTGAGCGGGGCTTGGAATTCCACCTCTGCTCTTACACTGGTCTTTGGGGTTGAATAAGATTACGAGCATCGCGCTTGTCTCCATCCAGAGGTAGTATCATGGTAATCGAAATCCCGGGCTTACTGTCGCTCTAGTGACGATCGAACGGGCCCTTTTTCCCATGTGCCCCATTCTCCTCTTTTAAATCCCGCTTGATCCCCGCGCGGCCCCTAAACTTCAAAGGGCTGCCGATACGACTTTTCTCGCGTCCAGACCTCCGGCGATTATCACGCTTTTCATGACCTGGCTTCTTGTCTGCTGCCAAGCTTTTTGAGAAGTGCATCATGAGAGATTTGTCCTCTTAGTCTTCCTTTGCTTCCTTTCATCATGTTTTTTCTCGGCGTCTTGCTCAGTCTCTTCTTGTTGGGCGCTGTTGCACAGCGTCTAGATGAGGACTTGCGCTCGTTTGTCACTGTGAGTGACTCCGCCTCTTGTCTTCAGCTCCATTCCATTTCTCGGACCTGATGCACTAATACTACTTCCAGCTTCCAGAAGTCCGCGCTCTGAGATTCAATATCACACATGTCGACCGAGAACAAGTTTCACCAGGATACTGGTTCGTTGCGCCTTACGGACAAGTTGATCCGGAAGAACCCACCACAAAGTATATGCAATACCAAGTCGGACCGTACATATATGACACCGATGGTGTACGTCGCTCCAGTTCTTATACGAAAAATATTATCCATCATCTGACCAGCGCATAGGAACTCATTTGGGCAGGTTCTCCAGTGACCGACAATCGCAACACATTTGACTTCAGGGCGAATTGGAACATCGACGGGGACCCACACCTCTCTTTCATCGTTCAGCACGAATACGACCGCGATGCGGATAAAGGAAGAGGTGTGATTATGGGGAATGACTACGAGCTCGAACGTGAGGTTGGAGCGGCCGATGATCTTAATGCATTCGATATGCACGAATTTAAAATCTTGGACGGTGGAAAGACTGCTCTAGCCTGCACCACCAAACCGCAGCAGATCAACCTAGCCGACTTTGACCGACCTGAAGAGGAGAGTTGGGTCGTTGTCGGCGGGTTCGTTGAGATAGATATCGAAAATTCCGAGATTCTATTCGAATGGGACTCCTACGACAAACTGTCGCTTACCGAATCCGTTAAATTCATTGCGGACGATGAAGTGCTCAATGAACCCGGGTGGGATTACGTGCACATCAATTCAGTCGACAAAAACTCTGACGGCGACTACATTATCTCGATGCGCTTCACAAACACAATTTATCTTGTTTCTGGCAAAGACGGCGAAATCATGTGGCGCCTGGGGGGTAAAGAGAGTGACTTTGAGCAGGACTTCAGCTTCACCAGGCAACACGATGTCAAGTTTGTCAAAACTAACAACACTCATCATGTTATTTCTTTCATGAATAATGCAGCGGATGAACTTCACACCGAGGGTGAGATTACATCTGCTCTTTTTGTGGAACTTGATATCAGCAGCTCTCCTATGACCGCGACGGTTATGAACCGCATGAACCACCCTGATGGCAATTTCACCCGTTTCGGTGGTAACATTCAACAACTTTCGAATGGAAATATCTTTGTTGGATGGAATGAGAAAGGCTACATGAGTGAATATGGACCTGATGGTGATCTTATCATGTCAGCTCGTTTCTCATCGGATCGCTATGCAAGCTACCGCTCTTATAAGTTTGATTGGATTGGTCAACCAACCACACCACCAGATCTAGCCACTTCTGTATACGGTGCCGACGATCAGGAAATGATAACCGTCATGCATGTCAGCTGGAACGGCGCAACCGATGTGGCTCGTTGGGAATTCTATGCTCGATCTTATGAGCATGGCAGGGATGTTTTAATCGCCACCACAAACAAAACATCCTTCGAAACGATGTATATGACCGAGGGATATATGGATTGGGTGACCGCAAAAGCTATTGATGAAAATGGCAACGTCTTGGGAATATCAGAAGTCTGTCGTTCAGAAGTTCCAGACTGGGAAGCGGTTGGTTTTGCTGGCCAGTCCTCTCATCCCAAAGCCGACGACCCAGAAATCCTACAAAATATTCGGGAGAAGCTTGACTCTGGCGAATACGGGGATCTCTACGACGATAATACCACCGACGAAGACCGCAAAGCCGCAGTACACTCCGCCACAACAGAAGTTGCAGAATCCGTTTACAAGGCTTATGGAATGATCCAAATGCTGGAGAACATCACCATCGGTGTATTGACTATGTTTTGCATCGGTGGTATTCTCGCCGGTGTTTGGTACGTCCGTTGTCGCAAAATGCGCTCTTACCAGCATCTCCCGACGGACGAGGCTTCCATTGGAGAAGACGCCAGCAAAGCCGATTAAAACACCCACTATTTTCTCAGTCTTTTTCAATTTTCTGCGGGCAGACACATGGCCCTTGTTTTGAAGATGATCCATGATGATCATTATTTACTTCCACCAGTATTCATTGTACATATACCATATCCATATTAGTTATAGCCACCAAGTACATAGAAGTCCTCGACTTGGGATGATCCCCCGACAGGCAATATCAACATAAAACTCATAATCTTCAAGTTCCTCTTCCTTTCCTTCTTCTAACTAGGTACTACTCAATCAAGCCCCATATCTTTCTAATATTCAGGGCCTAGAATTAATGTCCTAGGATCTCTGTCCTATCATACCTTAGGATACCTTGATATTCTCCTTATCTTATCCCATCTGATCTCTTATCTCTTATCGGTCCCCCTTGGAAATTTCCCATTTCGGTAAAGATCGCTGTTTGTGGTGGACCTCGGCCTAATCTCGCCGCTTCATCAACTCCTGTCACTAACAACCATCTTGCTGAGGCCAGCACGCTCTTTCGATACTTTGACACTCCTTCCAAGGTTCCTTAGACTCCAGATATCCATATCCTATCCTCACATTGACCTACTTGAGCAGCTCTGCGACCAACCATGGCCCTGTACCACCAAACCGTGGATTTCCTGTCCGACTCCTGGACCAACCAACGAACTCACCTACCTCTATTAGCAGTATCGGGGGCGTCCTTCACACTCGGCCTGCTTCTTCGATCGATTTTATCCGGACGCGAGTCTGCAGAGACAATTATACCTTCACCCCGCGCAAGAATTCTGACCGGCATATCGGAAGAAGAAAATCACAACCTCCCTCTCCCGAATGACGTGCTTCCCGGTGCCCGCGACGTTGCCAGTCCTTACGGCTCGATCCGAGTCTATGAATGGGGTCGAGAGGAAGGTCCAAAAGTGCTGCTCGTGCATGGTATCACCACGCCATGTATCGCTCTCGGTGGGGTGGCCCATGCGCTAGTTGACCGGGGCTGCCGAGTCATGCTGTTCGACCTGTATGTTCATCACAAGACCTACCTCGTACACAAAATAAATGCTAAGAAGAACAATTTAGTTTTGGCCGAGGATACTCCGACTGTCCAGCGGATCTACCTCAAGATGACCGTCTTTTCGCAACTCAGATCTTACTTGCCCTAGCCTCATCACCAATCGCCTGGACCGGCAAGGATTCAGGAAAGTTCTGCCTAACAGGCTATTCGCTTGGAGGTGGAATCGCCGCGGCATTTGCGTCTTATTTCCCGCAAATGTTATCCTCATTAGTTCTCCTCGCCCCAGCCGGTCTACTCCGAGACTCGCAAATCAGCTTCCAGAGTCGTCTCCTCTACTCCCGCGGCCTGATGCCGGAGAACCTTCTTGGATATCTTGTGGGTCGCCGCCTACGAGCTGGGCCCTTAGTGACCCCCAAGCCCGGCAACCGAAAGCTTAATGCAGCGGATGCGCTCACCGAAGAACTCCCCTCGCAAAACGCGGCAGATATCCAAATACTCTCTCGTGACTACCCGCATGTCAGCATTCCAGCCGCTGTTGCTTGGCAAGTGAATAATCACTCTGGTTTCGTCCACGCCTTCATGTCAAGTATGCGCCATGGGCCAATCCTGAGCCAACGACAGTATAACACCTGGGCTCGTCTTGGGGAGTACCTCAGTGCGCAGAATAGTTATTCGTCAACACACCGAGGCGAAAAGGGATTGGGCAGTGATAAAGTCCACATTCTGTGCGGTAACACTGATGCCATAATCATTAAGGATGAACTGATTGAAGATGCCACCGCGGCCTTGGGCGGAAACGTTGCCTTCAAGTTCTACGAGGCAGGCCATGAGTTCCCCAGCACCAAGTATGAGGATGTTGCTACGTATATATCGAAATTGCTCTGAAATAGCTCATCGCTGAGCGTTGCTTGCTTGATGCATCTAGAAATATTCGCTGGGCTTTGTTACATACATTTGATAGAATACTATACATAGACGGAGATATCATCCATCCTTCCTTCGGTCATTTGGGGCCTTCAAGTTCATTTTTTCAAGATTTCATCCACCGCGTTGACTTGATTTGAAAGTCCTGTGAGGTGACTTGAACGCTCCTGCATTCGTGCACCGGCGTAATAAGGTCCATCGGCTGCCGAGGATCGTGTGTACCGATCAACTGTACTGCGGTTTGCTCGTGGAACTTGGTTGAGATTGCTTTGGCTGAGAGCTGCATTCGTGGTACCATTTCGGTTGCTGGTAGGGCCGTTAGTATTTATTCATCTCATGGTATTTAAACAAAAAATACTCACTTTGTGGAAGATGATTGAGGGATAGACATGATTTCTGTTTGATTTCGGCTTGTCTGGAAGCCTTGAGAATTGCGATGTAGAGTGTAACGTGGAGTAGAGCTGGAGAAGGTGGTGTTGGTGGAATGTGATCTCGGTGGTTCAAGTTGTAGATATCGCCACTCTTCAGGGTATTGAGCTGAAACCTGATGTAAGAAACTTGATCTGTCTTGGAATGTGATGGCAAATATGAAACGGAGCTGGTCCTCTATATATGCAAAGGTAAGGTCAGGCTATGCCGCAGTAGAGAGCATGCCTTGACACGCGAGCTCCACAGGAGTTTGCATGGCGGTCCACATGGACGAACAAGCTAAGCGAAGAGAGGAATGGAGGGAAAGATCTTCGGTTCGCATCAACGACGACGAGAGGGGTGGGTTCGAGGAGCCTGCATCGAACGTAGTCCGCATGAGCAACGCCGGGCCTGGAATTCCGGCCCAACACTAACCAGTGGGGGCGACTTAATTAGTACAAAGCACATACCCGCGAATTTAAAACAGGCGACGAGGCAGATACGATTGGTCCGGGCAGTGCATAAGATGGGGTCGTGAAGGCAGGAACAAGATGCACCAGGACCAAGAGTGGACCCGGGTCTCACGATCTCCAAGCTGCGTACTAGGTACAATTATTCGAGGACATGCCTTCAGGGAATCTGAGCACATGGCAAGCCACATGTCCTAAGCCAGGAACATCCCGATAGAGTATATGTGCCGTGGGATGAGCCAAGGGATAGAGGTGCTTATGCGCGTTTACGCGGAACGAACGTTAAATCGCCAGTGAGAGATCCAACAAGGGCAGGAAGTGAGGAAATAAAACGTCATTCTAGCCGGTCTAGACTGTACCACAAAACCCTATGAGCGCCAATCACTTTTAGCGGGAAATGCGCTCTGCAATGCGCAGAATATCGTCGCGTGGGCTGACGACGAAAGGGTGAAACAACGTCGTGGGACCAACGTGGTCGATCACATGGAGATCATGCACTAGTGTAGGGGAGTCAATCAAAATGCACGATTAAAAATTCAAATAGGTAAATTGAACCAGATTAAGCTAGGTGTGCGAGATGCCGATTCACGGGGCCACGCGCGGAGTATGCTTCCTCACTTCCCGCTACAGTTTAGTACTCAGCGGTGTCAATCCCTTCGAAAAGCGTTGTTGAGCCCGGGCACATAATGGGAATAAATTGAAAATGGAGATTAGAGTAGGCGTCAGCTCATACCAGCCACGTCTTACCCCGGCTAAGCCTTACGAGGCATTCTATTCCACACAGCCATAATACCAGCCTGTGGAATGCTACAATATGAACCGCAAAGAAAGCAGCACTTTCACACGCTACCGCGTTGTTTCAGACTGGATCAAGGGTCCTTCCAACAAAAATACTAAATTAAAAATAAACCGAAATAAAATAAGGGGCACACGTGGATTGCCTGCCCTTTCCATCCACCGTTTATGACGAGTCTATCAGTAGGGTCAACCGGATTGGGAAAGCATCAACATGCGTTTCGCCCAGGACGCCACCAAGTGGCTCCTGGATCTTATGGGCCGTGCTCCTGCAAGTGGCTCAAGCCTCAAATTAATGAACGGGTTCGTAAGTATTAGATTAGCGCGGGTTCTCATAGACGGCTTTCCGGCAACCTCGGGGAGGGGGCCGACAAGCGGAGGTCCGAAATGAAGCCAGTCCCGCCGTATTGGAGCCAATTCAATATAGCGTTGATTTGTTTACATCGGGAAATTACTTTCATTCCAACGTGGTCTACGGAGTTATAACATATGGCCCGGTCCGCGTGCTCTACCGAAATATGCAAAGTACATTGTAGTATGTAGCGAATACTCTTCATTCGAGGGGACCACCCGCAAAGCCACAGAAGCCATATGGGCCCGGTGTTTCAGACAATAAGGTTGCTTTTCCCACGCGCACCCCTTGACCAGCGATCATTCCAGCCGTTCCATAGTGAGCAATGTTTGACGATGTTGCGGGTCAACTCACTCGCTCAGATATGCAAAGCACAGCTGGTCTGAGCTGGAGAATCCCAACAACCTTATCCCCATTCTGATTAGTACCACGACACTCGGTGATCGCCGAAGGCACTGAACTGGCGTTCGCGTGATGAATTTCTGGCCCAATTAGACAGTCGATCACATCAATCATTATTCAAGTGATCTGGCAAAGCTGACTCGACGCTGGGGGATGTTCGTACTACCAACCCGACAGATTGGTTCTACGCCCGACTTCACTACAGCCTCCTTTCGCCTCTTTTCCCATCCAGTGTGTCGGGTTAAGGGGACAAAAAGGCTCTTTATTGGGGCCATCGAACCAGCCTTGCAGCATTAGGCGCTACCCCTGACCACAGGTTTTTCTACCTATCACATCAACATGGCGAAAAATGGATTAAATGATCTTTGCCAAGGAGGGGTTATCGATAGTAGTTCGCAGGGTGAAGACCAAAAATAGTATCGATCGTCCGGATGATCATCCCTTGGGGAACAACGTTTGCCCCAGTCCTAAATCATGGCAGCCGGTACCAGTCTGAAACGAAGCATCACGAAACTGATCACAACGGCCCCCAAGTCGGCTGTGATACCGAAGAGCCCCGTCACTACATCCCATCCCAGTATCCGTTGCCCGTGCAACCTTTCGGCCCCTGCATCCATGCCACGAGAACACACGCAGCGGGTTACAGACTGCA